ATTTTACTCTGTATCACATTTAATTAACAGGGAATTACAGAAGCAAGAAATGCAATATGAACATGCAATGAATACACCATATCAAAATATTGGAATTTAAACAACAATACATGTAAACAAGAACACAGTTATATAAGCGATACATACAACAAATTTGAATACATATTTGTGTAAAGAGCAGCAGAACACAGAATGCCCAGAACGCAAATGATAATGGCCTCATGGCATGTTTGCACTGAAACACATGAACACAAGAATTAGATCAGGATTCCTTGAAGCCTATTTAAAATGCATATACTGTAACCTCTCTTCTCCACTATCTCATGGCTCCCTCCAACATCAAGGCTCTCTGCACCACATTCTGGAACAAAAATTACGCTCATCACAGAAATCAATCCATTTCGTATTCCACCAGGCATGCTCATTTTCTGCCACTTCAGACTGGTTGCCTTGTAAACGCCAATAAATGTGGCCGGCCTATGAGGGAGCTCCTGAAATCAAGGTTTTAAAACACTCCCAGACAAACATATCTCGTGTGCATCGAGATATTAGCCTTAAAATGAAACTAGTGTTATAATTGGCATGAAATAATACAACAGAATCAGCACATGCATATCAAATTCACAACAAAGTAAGAAAAACAAGAAAACATCAAAATGAAGTACACTCAACATTATGCATGTAATATAAATAAGCCAAACATTTGCACTGTAAGAATATAATTAATGTCAATTTTAATTAATTTTACTTTGTGTCACAATTAATGGGGAAGTAGAGAAGCAAGAAATGCAATATGAACATACAACACATAAAACCACATCAAAAAATTAGAATTGATATAATAAGTGTACAAATAACAGCATAATAAATAAGACATACAGCAAATCTGAATACACAACAGCAGAACACAGATTGCCCAGAAAGCAAATGCTAATGGCCTAATGGCATGTGTGCACTGAAACACATGAACAGAAGAATTAGATCAGGTTTCTTTGAAGCCTGTTAGAAACAAGTACTGTAACCTCTCTTCTCTAGTATTTCATGGCTCCCTGAAACTTCAAAGCTCCTGCATAACATTCTGAAGCAAAAAGTATGTTCGTCACAGAAACAAGTCACTTTCCATTCCACCTGGCATGCTCATTTCCCTCTCAATTCAGATTGGTTGCCTCTTCCCAGCAGATGGAAATATATCAACAGGCAGATGTACAGATTACGTATCTGCAATGGACACATAGAAAATTGTATTTTATGAACAATTAACAGGAAGTTTAATCAATGTTATACAACAATTCGACAGTGAAAAAACACGACAAAAATTCAATATGAACACATACATCATTGCAACAAATGGGACAATTAAAAAAATTTAAATTAAAATAGCATCACATGTAGGCCGTACATATTAACTCAATGGCATAAGTAAGATGTGTATAAACATAATATTCAATAATTATCTGTACTTTAACAGGTATAGAAGAACACAGCACTTGGGAAAAAATAAAGTAAATGTGATGTGAAATGCTATGCAGCGTACACACAACACATACAAGTGGAATAACCTATAATTAAGAGCATGTTTAAAGTATTCTGTCACATTTCAATAATGTGTTAGTACATAACAAAGAAATGCAGTATGAGCATGTATCAATCAACAAATAGGCCAATTCAGAAACATTAAAATAACATCACATAGGCTGCATGCATAAACAACAGAACTGCATAAAAAACACACACACATATTTTCAGTTGGAGAAAAGCACAATAATTAGTAATTAAAGAAAGCAAACAATGACACATGTGGACTGAAGCATGTAATATAATGTAAATAAATGGGCATGGTCTTCAAAGTGACCATTAACTGATCTTTTGTGCTTCCTTTTCTTCTAACCTACCAGTAGCCCCCAGCCACGTCAAAGCACAGTACCCTACCTGGCGAGATCTCGTGATAATCGTCTGATTTTTCTAAATGACAGACAAATGCCAAAATCCTGAAAAGCTCTTTATTAAAGAGCTTTTATTGGTGACCATGATCATGGCCTCCCTGTAGACCCCTGGGTCTATCTAGAGGATTAACCTCTTTAATTGCGGTATTGCCCTTCGACCTGGGCCTTGTAAGCACCCTGGTCAGAGCATCCTTAAACTTGGGTAGTGTCATGTACCCGAGTTTTCATATGCCCCTGGTACCATCTTGGCTCTCTCTGGCTTTTAAGCTTCCGTCTGGCATCCAGACACGCAGTCTGTGCCAAATGTTGCCTGTCGACCATAAGGCCACAAGGCTATAAACTGTTTATCGCATTCTTCCATGGGTCTGCTGCAAATGCCAGCTCTCTGTGGTGGTATGCCAGAAATACCGACTCCCTGCTGAAAATGACCAGCTTTAAAATGGAGACTCCATATCACAGAACTTTTCTGGTAGTTTTCTGACAACTGCTGGGCTTCTGCCTCCAGTTGTCTTTTAAACTTTCCCAGGCTGGCTGATACTGAGAGCAAACTAAGGCGGCAGTGCCCTGAAGGGATCCTTTGTGCCATGCAGCCCTCAGCATGATACCTCACACCTTGGCTTCGGTGGACCAGAGCCCTGTTAGCCGTCTGAGGACGTTACCCCCCTCCGCGACGTGGACGCCAAGGGTTGGATTTTGGAGGGGACTAAAGCATGTAGAAAACCAATATTAATCCTGGCTTCTTTGAAGTCTATAAAAAGCTTAATACTGTTATCGATTTTGTCCACTACCTCATGATTCCTTCCAAGTCCATGGCTCCATAATCAGAATACATGCAGGTGGTAAATTGTAATTCTCTTACATTATCTTCTAGAATTCATTTGTCCGCAGTAATCAACGCACCATCAGGAAACCACTTCAACCATGAACTAGAACAAATACAACATTTACAATCATGTCAATATTCATTTATAATTGTCCTCCAAAACCTCCTCAAACTTCATATCACTGATGTACAATATTTCGGCTTTTGTGACCACATTTCTTCTATTCAGTATATTTCTCACATTCTAGTCATTTCACTTGAAATACTTTTCTCTTTAATAAGTCGTGTTTCTTGCATTTCAGACTGCATAGAAATCTTGCATTGATAACAGTCATCAACAACAGCATTTCAGGTCCTCATCCGCATGAATACAGTTTACTTGAAGAAGTCGAGGTGTAATCTTTAAAAATTCCAGTGAAATTCAGTTCATGTAGAAAATTTTACAAAATGCCTAAATGAATCTTATGGAGAGAGTGGTAGGGAATGGACTGGATTCTTCTGTCTCGGGAGAGGAATTGATGGTGGACTCTTGTGAACATGACAATGAACCTTGTGCCTTACATGAATATAAGGCACCATTTCTTGATTAGCTTCTCACAACAGCTCTACTGCATTTAGTCACTAACTTATCAACAGGTTCAGATACTGCTCAAACGCAATATTACTTAACTTATTAATTATCCACCTAAAATTAAATATTTCAAGCATTAACCATTGTTAAATTATGCAGAGTGATGGATGGCTCACTCAGTACAGGAACTACGCTATGAGCTGGACATACGGGGTTCGATTCTGGGCAGAATTTCTCACCACATCATGACAGGCTCTGTGGTCCAAACAGTCTCTTATCCAATGGACACTGGTCTCTTCCTTCAGTAAAGAGGCTGTGTGAAGCTAACAACTGACCTCCTTCTACCGCCTATGCGAAGAATGCGTGGATCTATACCTCCATTCCCCATGCATCTGCGTCACAGCGCGGTGCTCGAGTCTTAGAGATAACTTCGCCTTGTCTTCAACATCTCTATTTGTGGACTTCTCTAGTGGTCCTCTGCCACGTGTTGGATCGCGTCATGAAAAATGTTCCCAAATATTTCCATCGCGTTAAATCCAAACAACACGAGTCATTATCAGAACGGACCGTAGTTATATTCCTCTGCCTTTATCTCTCAACCAACACCCTTACTGCGTCTTGCACAGCTTTTGTGCTCGTCTCTTTTACTGGACCTGTCTTTCCGCTCTGCAATACAGGCCGGAAGCCCCATTCGATTCCAGTACCCTCTCGGATTTTGTTAGCGTATATTCTAAAACAAGATTTAAAAGCAGTGGCAATGAAATATGTTCTAGTTTCAGACTATTCTGAATAGGAAACTCATCGCGCAATTTCTGATTTTTTGGGACATTTTTAACAAATTTTATCGGTACGGTTTACCACATTTCACCCTCAGGGGCTCACATCTTGTGAGTATGGGAAGCGGCGTATAGATTGCATTCTTTACTAAACTACTTCTAAATCAGCATGTTTCTACACACCTCTCTACTATGTCTGCCGCTCTAAGACCATTAATTGCATACGTTATAAAAATCACAAACAATATTAAAATGGATAATAAAACAAGATTATACTGAAACTTCTTTAGAGTTGAAAATAATTTACTCGAAATTAACATATTGAGTTCATACTAAAATATAAGCAGCATTTAACAAGAAAACACTACGAAAAAGCGAAACATGTCCTTACTTACCAGAAACTGCGTTGCCTGCACCGGAGGACCAAAGGGTAGCATAACAGAAGTAATGGCAATGCACAGTGTGCATGTTAAGTCTCGCTACCCCAAATAAATGTTTCTGTATTATCAACTTCGCCCTCGAAGCCGATAGACAATAATCCGCGTCGTATTTTCAAGGTATTCCAACGCTTCGACAAATAATGCAGTCGTCAGCTTCAGGTTGAATATATTTGGGGGTTATAAGAATAGCAGTGCTGTTTTATAAACAAGAACACAATGCCTTCCTCACAGACGTTGATGGATGACCTCTTATAAGGCGGTGCAGCATCATAACCCAGAA